CTTTTTTGTGAGTAAAGCAACACCCAGTTAACAGGTGGTCTGGTATCACATTGCAACAAAAACTGATGTCCCGCCAGAACACCAGATTTCTGGTGTAACATCAGAACACCAGATTTCTGGTGTAACATCAGAACACCAGATTCCTGGTGTCATACCCACACATCAGATTTCCGGTGTCACAGCAGAACACCAGATTTCTGGTGTGGCACCAGGAAATATCCCAAATCACATCTGTGAAAATGTCTGGTGTAATATCAAGTCACACAAGCCCTCGAGCTGGTGTATTTTTCACTAGGGTACCCAGGCAGCACACCAATGCCGGTCCGACATTGGCCTAACACTGGCAAAGACCGGCCTCAATATTGGACAACATTGGAAGCGCTACCCTTTCCATTGTTGGTGCAATGAATGATGCCAATGTTGGGCCACTGTTCAGCCATCGTTCCAGCCAATGTCGGCCCCATCATTGGTACCAATGTTGGGCAATTGCTAAACCATGGTTCCAGCCAAGGTGCTCCCACATTGGCGAAGACCGGCGTAATATTGGACAACACTGGAAGCGCGACCCTATCCAATGTTGGCCGTCATGCTGATTTTTGGCCATCGTTGCACTCGCCCAGCTCTTTGCAAGTGCCCTCGCCAAGTTGTTTGCAAAAAGGAAGGTAAACAGACACAAGGGATTGTTTTGAAATCTCCTAACAGTTTATTACACACAGCTTATTCTGTAGACAAGCACAATCTCAGCAATTTATAATATGTGAAGAGGTACTAATCAGCTGTGATACAACTATGAAGATTGCAAAGCAAACAACAACCGCGGTAATTCTTGGGTTGTGTACAGTCTCGCGGCAGCTGGCAGAATTTTTTCCCCTAAATTCTACCGCTAGTCGTCCCTGATTGGCGGTGCAATCAGTTCATCGAACTACATTTCATAGACAGATGGCTTCATCAACACGCGATGTTTCACAAAAAAACTCAAAATATGTTGGTTTTTTTTTTCTTCTTTTCTTGCTGCAATGAACCGCTTCAGACTTAGCATAAAGCAGCGTGAAAGGGTGGGCTGGTTCCGTGAGCACGCGCCTCAGGAATACACGTGCGTTGAAATGCCCCTACAGCGTGCAATTCCCGTAACGCATGTCGAGGAAACGTTGCGCCTCAGGAATACACTCGCGACGAAATGCCCCTATAGTGCGCAATTCTCGTAACGAATGTCCATGAAACGTAAATGTCGACCAGAAAGGTGCCCACGAAACGCGTTTTTGCGAAACGCAGGGAGAATAAAAAAGTCAGTATTATACCTGCAGTTGTGACATTATTTCAGACTGATAATGGCAGGCGGCTGCCGGTAAGATTGCGAGAAAATTATTCTCCCGGCTGCCAGGAGATAGGCACTGCCCAATTCTAGAGGTTATCTGAAAGATTACCCATACAAGAACGGACAATGATCACCAAGTAGGTTGCAACACACTTACGTTGAAAATACCGGACTTGAAAGATGTAATACGACTTGTATGTCAACACGGGCACGGGAGAACAACCACTCAAACAAAAAAACCAGAAGGAAGTGATCCGTGAAGATTCAACACGATGTAGCACACGCTTCCTTTTTCCGAACTGAAAACTAAGCGATTCACAAGAATGTCTTGGACTTCTTTGAAGAAATCGACACGGGTAGGATTTTTCGAACAAGATACCTTTTTACCACAGAAGCGAAATCCACAGCGGGCTTGCACCCCGCAGGCCGCATCACGCGCGAAACTAGGTCCGGTCTTTGCGACGCAGGCATTCCGAGTTTGTCAACGGCTAATGCGTCATCCGTCAAACCACGTGATCACGCTTCTGCCGTTACCCGCGCACAGAGAGCGGATTCAAGCGATTAAATGTGTACGAATCATTCGTCCGGCGAGTACGCACCGTCTACCGCGCCTTCAGCTTAGGGAGAGAGAAAAAAAAAGAGAGAAGGAGTAGAAAGGAAGCAGGCCAGAACGGCGGTGGGGTGCGCTTACAAAGGCTAATCTTCAGGGGCATCTCAACAATGAACGCAACGAGAGAATTTCTCACTTCTACCCAAGGTTGATAGTGCACTAGATGTTATGCGTGACTTTGGGCTTTAGGCAGGTTCCGCGCTCTGCATTATTACCACCTTCGAAACAGTGGTCATCTGACCCTAACCGGAGACACGATTGGCCTTAAACACGCATAGCATCTACCCTGCTGTCAATACCGATTTAACAGGACAGCTCTCTGAAGGTCAGCTTTCGAACTTCTAAAGAAGCTGTCCAGTCCAAAAGTGGTTCTTAACGGGGCAAGTTTGAAGACAGAATGCTTTACGTCGTATTTGCGGGGAAAACGAACAGGAGCGGCGCTCAGGTCGCCGCGTTCTGATTGGACGAAGTGCGCCGTGACGTCAGGCGGGGGACTCCGCATTACGAGATTCGGCAGTTAGGCTCGCGCGGGCTTCATAACTATGGTTACTTATTGCTCTGTGCCACAGTGTAAGTCTCGAAGAGTACCCGGTGTTAGCTTTCACCGCTACCCGAAGACATCGAGGCTACGGAAATCTTGGGTAATTAAGTTAAGAATGGGGAAAGCACCAACAGCGATACTGCTTCACAGCGCACAAAATCAGACACACTTAAAAGAAATTTCACGCATACACAGAAAGAACACTCACGCAGCGCTGACTGACAACTCAAGTGTATTATGCATCATCTTCATCTTCCTTTACTCCGATGCAAATGGCAGTGAAACAAAAAACCGATGATCATATGAGCAAGAGAAAGAAAAAAAAAATGAACAAAAACAAAATATAAAAGAAAGAAAAAAATAGAAGGAAGAAAAAATAATGGATTCTCTGCACACCGGACGTTGCTACTGTAAAGGAGGTAAAGGAAGATGAAGATGATGCACAATACACTTGAGTTGTCAGTCAGCGCTGCGTGAGTGTTCTTCCTGTGTATGCGTGAAATTTCTTTTAAGTGTGTCTGATCTTGTGCGCTGTGAAGCAGTATCATGAATAACCAACTCGCCGAAGCTGAAGTTCTCACCAACAGCGTCCGCCTTCGTATGCAGCAAGCACTCTCAAGAGGAAGATTTCGCATACCCGGTCTACAAGATCCTCGGTAAGGCGGATAACAAGGAATTTCGGCGCAATTTCTCAACGCTTTTGTAACTTTTCCTTCGTGTTAGGTTACAAGTTGCCAAAATTTTCGGCGGACGCAATTCCGTCGGTGAATCTTCCCGTGCGTCCACACGACGTCGGGCGGTCATGCGAGGGATCGGCGCTGCGGCGACGTAAGTGTTTCAAATTGTGTTCTTGGCGTTTGGTGAGTGCTGGGAATATGTTAGCATGATTGCACCTCCATCGTAAACTAATAGAGAGATTGAGTAGACAGCTTTCAGAGGCCCACTACCACACCTGGTACGCGCTACGAAGCATGCTTCGAGTGGAAGCGCGAGCTTCCGATACAAATATCCCTCGCTGAAAACATTATCAGCTAATGTTGCGTGCACTAACTCCATCGCACGCGTACGCGAGGCGACGGAGTTAGCACGAACAAGTGACCACCCGCTTTCCTGTTTAGAATTGTGAGCTCGAAGGTTGTCATCGAAACTACTAGTGGTGGTAGTGTACCATTTAATATCTATGTCCATATTTTTCAGGTGAAAGGGGCACCCCTGCGTGCCCTCCCCCGCTGCCACAACTTCCAACCTCCCCACAGCAGGATTTCCTGACGACACAGGGAAGCGAGGGTGCTTCGGTCAGCTCTCCAGACGAGCATTCTGCAGCGGAAGCACGGCAGATTGGACTTATCGAAAACAGTAGTTTGTGTATGCAAGCCTTTCAGGGTCTTCATTTAGCCTGGGGCAATTTGAGTGTGCAGGAATATAATTTTTGGAGTATAAAAAGTATAAATTGTCAAGAAACCACGAACAATAGCTTAGACATCCTGCCTCACGTTATTCTTTAAACAATGATTAACTTAACCAGGACCACAGATACTACCAAGAGGTTTATCGAAACCCAGCAGTAATAATTTGCAAGCAGGGTTAACACTCAAATATCTGCTCCATCGTGTCTTTTTCTTTAACTTCTTGGTCATTATACCAGGCCTTTCACATAAGGCACTGCAGGTCTGTTCCTGGCTCGCAGATGCATTCGCAATGTTGATAGTACATCACAATGTGTAAATTTCCTGCTCTAGCAACAAATTTTTTCATATTTTTTTATTTTTTTGCTGAAGAGGCATGAATAGCACTTATGGGAGAAATAATAAGCATACCTTGTCAATCCACTTGAACTATTAGATCGGGCAACATAAATTTTTCATGATGACAGCGAAGACATGTACAAAATTCTTTATTTCCATATGGCAGTGATTCAGACACTCTACACTGCTTCAACCTCGTCTGAAACGTCATTGTGCGGCTCAACTGCATCAGGATCCAATTTCCCAGTGGTCCCCGACGAGAGTCCTGGGGAACACCTCACAAATGGTGAAGGTAACAAACATATAATGTCATTACTTTGCTGCTATACAAACAGTCTAATTGATCACTTTCCGAGTTGTTAGTTCGAGTGCTTTTTGGTATGAAGTGTCTGTGCGCAAGGCACCAACCAGTGCGAGCACTTTGCTTGGAAGCATGCCCCCATCAACGAGCACTGGAGGGAAGCACGTGTTTCTACTGTTTTCCTACATAAAAACCCTCGGACCAACCATTCGGAAAGTGGTAGATTGTTCTCTTCGTACAAATTTGTTTTGTTTTTTCCTTCAGAGCTCACTACAGAGCTTGAGGAATTCCAGAGAGAGATTGGGATCCAGGTCGACACCACTAGTTGCCCATCCGAGCGGGAGCAGCTGATCACAATCTCTAAAATTCCGGATGAAAAGGGATTGGTTGTATTGACAGGAGCGTGCTCCTTCGAGCTGTTCTACAACATTACAGAACTGTACACGGAGGCACGTGTGCTCCAAACAACCCGCACATTCTGCTTAAGCAATGATGATGCCGTCCTCCTGACCTTTATGAAGTTATACCATGACGTCACATTTTCGCTATTGCCAGTACTGTTCGGTGTGCGCCGTACCACAATCTCCAACATCTTTAAAGAGTCTGTTGTGATTCTTTCAAGCATACTTGGACATGCAAATTTCTGGCCCGAAAAAGATGTCGTGGTCAGCTGCCTCGAAACCTACTTCCGCGAGTACAAAGACACAAGGATGGTGCTTGATTGCACAGAAGTAGACATCGAGCGACCGAAGGACCTAATATCGAGGCTGCTGACCTACAGTCACTACAAGCGGACATACACAGCGAAGGTTCTCGTGAGTGAGACGCCAGGTGGCTTGATTAGTTATGGGAGCCCAGCGTATGGTGGGAAAGCATCCGACACCCATATCACAAAACACTGCCAGCTACTTCACAAGTGTACCCCACACGTCGACAGCGTCATGGTCGACAAAGGCTTTCTCATCAATGAACTCTGTAAAGAGAAAAATATCAAAATGGTCAGACCCCCTTTTCTGATGGAAAAGCAGCTCACAGCAGATGAAGCGAGGGCTAATCAGTCGATTGCAAGTGCCCGTGTGCATGTGGAAAGAGCTATACAAAGAATAAAGCTCTACCGTATTTTGAAAAGCCGATTCGACCTGGATCTTGTACCATACATTGACATGATTTTTACTGTAATCACAGGCACAGTGAACCTCTCCAAGCCCTTGTTTAGCGAAAACAAGTTTCTATTCAAGGGTGGTCATAATAGGCTCGCCTGTTAACTAAACACACTGTTAGGTGGCATGTGCATGGTTATTAAACTTTTCTATCATTTTAACCTTGCTATGTATCACTGTTTTCTTCAAGCATGTGTAGTCAGTACAAAGCTTTTGCTATGTTGTGTTTCCTTTTAGTATCAGCGTGACAATGCAGTAACAAAAATACAATAACAGAGCAGAATATGGCAAAACAAGCACCATCTAAGAGTAATGATTAACCTTAACGTGATGTGGACACAAAATTTAAAATTTACAAAAAACTGAGCATCATGGGAGCAGTGCCGCTACGCCATAGAAATAGTGATGCGGACATGAAACTAACTCTTATCCATCGTTTGTGTTTTTTTTTGTTTTTTTTAATATTTGTGGTAGTTCATTTGCAGCAACGGTAATTACCATAAAATACTGGGCAAGCGCCCACTCAAATTCAGAGACACTAATCTCAAAACATTGGGGGATGGGCGCTTGTCCGGTTATCAATTTTACATATCAATGTACTGTGCATATTTTCTCAGATCTTACAAATTTGAGGGCGGGCGCCTAATGTGGAATGGGCGGATGTGCGGTATCTACGGTACCTCATCTGCCCAAATCAGCAAAAACACATTTAAAAAAGTTAACTAGGTAACATTAAGTGATCACGCAAAAGATGAGATGGAATGTGCTGGCACGACACCTAGATCACGAAATAGGAATGGCAACAATTGGCTTGAAAGGACGCAATGGATGAAGGAGATAGTTTGAATTCTGCCTCACCATTTACTGTTGCGGCATAGCAGTCGCACTGCACAGTCCACAATGAGCAAACACACTAAAAAAAAAACACACAACATTGGCTTGGTAAGCCTATTTCATGCTAGATGGTTCATCTTATGCAGACCAGTTTCTAAACTTATTCACGATTACAATAAAGCTAACTATGAAGCAATCAACAACCAGTTATTAACTTTCTATGGCACATTTAAAGCCGAATTTTTCTTAAGATCTGTTGAAGAAAACTGGGTTCGTTATAAGAAAAATATGGTTGACCTGGTGCATCTGTATGTCCCTACCATACGAATTCATACCGACTCATCCAAACCATGGTATAATAAAACGCTAAGGTCATTATCTAGCAAGAAAAAGCGACTTTTTGCAAGGGCAATGCGATCTAATTCATCTCGTGCTTGGGACTCTTACTACGATGCACTTAGAAACTATACGAAGAACCTTAGATTATCGAAAACAAAATTTTTCTCTCAACATTTACCAACAATATTGCGTAACAACCCCACGAAATTCTGGTAGCTCATGTCGCCCAAAAGCAGTCCCGCGACTATCAACCTGGTACACCACAACGGTGAACCTGTTGAAGAGAGTGAATGCCCTGAAGTGTTTAATGAATACTTTTCTTTCATATTTACAAATGAAAGTCCATGTAATATTCCCATCGTTCCTGTGGAAGGTAATGATTTCATGACACCAATTTCCGTTAACGAAATTGGCATTAATAATCTAATTGCTAAACTCAAGCTTTCATCCTCAGGTGGCCTTGACAATGTCAATGCAAAAATCCTTAAAAATTCTGCTGCAATTTTGAGCGAATTTCTCTGACTCATCTTCAAACAATCACTTTCTGAAAGCTTCCTTCCTTCCGATTGGAAGGTCGGTAGGGTAGTTCCTATCTACAAGGAAGGAACTCGGTCTTCCGTCTCGAATTATCGCCCCATTTCTTTAACATGCATATCAACTAAACTTCTCGAACATATCTTATACTCTCACATACTGACTCATCTGTCCTCCAACAGTTTTCTTTTTAGACAACAGCATGGCTTCCGCAAGGGCTACTCTTCCGAGACTCAGTTGTGCGAATTTGTTTATGAGTTACATACTAACCTTAACTCTCATGTACAGACAGAGGCCATATTTTTGGACTTTTCAAAACCCTTCGATCGTGTTCCGCATCGCCGTCTTTTTTCCAAGTTATCGCCCCTGCATTTAGACCCCTTAGTACTCTCCTGGATTAGAAACTTTCTCGCATCTCGTGTTCAATACACAGCCATTAACGATCATGAATCAAGTCTAACGAGTGTTACGTCAGGCGCTCCGCAGGGCTCCGTCCTCGGCCCTTTGCTCTTCTTAATAATCATTAACGATCTTCCATGTAACATTTCCTCTAAAATACGGCTTTTTCCCGATGATTGTGTCAGATATAACAAGATCTCATCGGTTAACGACAGCCACCAGCTTCAGAGTGATCTTTAGGAGGTTAGCCACTGGTGTGGTAAATGGTTGATGACGCTCAATAAAGCTAAGTGGAAACTAGTTCAATTCTCTAGAAAACAGTCCGTGTTAACATATCAATATTCCACTGACAGCGATGTGATTGAAGCTGTTCCCATGTACAAATATCTCGGTATCAGTCTAACATCCTCCCTCACTTGGAAAACTCATATTGAAGCCATCTCTGCAGAAGCATCCAGGACCCTCGGATTCGTGAGACGAAACCTAAGAGATGCACCCCCACATGTCCGGAAATTAACCTACGAAACGTATATTCGCCCTAAATTAGAGTATGCCGCTGCAATGTGGAACCCCCATCAAGCATACCTTATCAATACATTAGAAGCAGTGCAAAACCAAGCCGCTCATTCATCCTATCATCACACGACCATTTCACCAGTGTGTCTTCTTTGAAAAATTAACTCGGACTGACGCCTGTGCTCCTACGAAGGAAAGTTTCTCGACTCTGCCTCCTTCACAAAATTTACTACCACTGCCCAGACCTCAGGGACTCCTTATTATCACCCCCAGAAACAATGTCGTCTCGTCTAAACAACTCCTGTGCCATCAAACGAATTTTTGGTAAGTCCAAAGCTTATAACGAATCCTTTTTCCTCCCGGCATATCCAAATGGAATCAGTTGTCATCATCGATAGTCACCATTAGCGACGCGACAGGTTCCTGAATACGCTTCAAACCCATGTTTTGTGAGTGTTCTTTTGTTTTCATCATGTATAACTTGTACTCCAATTTTTCCTGACTGCATATTATCGTATTTTATTGCGTTTATATGTTGATTTATTGTGTCGTACTACCCCCCCCCCATTATGTAATGCCCTGACTTGGCCTTTAAGGTGGGAATAAATGAAATGAAAAATGAAATTTGTGGAATCAAGTAGTTTCCAAAAAAACGAGGCTCTTTCGACGACATCATTAAAATAATCCTCGTCAAATTCCACACGGATGCACTCGTTTTGTTGCTCTTCAATGTACACGAACAAGTCTGCATGGTTACAACCGGTCAAACCCATCTGGACCTGCACTTGGCAGAAGACTGTGGTTGTGTGCTTTAGCTTCATGCTTGGCATGTCGCCCACACTCTTCTCAGTGATTTCTCCAAGGAACTTTACCATGCTCTCTGGGCACTTTGCCTCGAGGACCCGCTTTTCACAGCACTGGCACTCTACCAGTGCGTCGGGACTGGCACCAATGTAGGGCCGCCCTTGCATGTTATAAAGCCCGCACTGGCTCAACACCAGGTTTTGGTGCTGAGCCTGCTTGGTCTTGTAGCACTCCTTCGCGGGGCCCTCAAGTGCGCTTTCACGAGACATTGCCGGCGTCCTAACGTACGTTTGTCTCATCAGCTTCCTCAGTAGAGGTCTGAGGTCGTGTGGACCCATCTTTGTTTGGAGTGTTTTCACTCTCGTGAAAACGCTGTACGAGAAAAAGGCAGTAATCATTCCGACCCTGGTGCGCATCCACAGACCAGACTTCGCCTGGTCGCGAGTGGCTAGCTCAATGTCCTTCAAGTCTTTAGAGCTCTTGCTCTCATGCAAGTGCTTGAGCACCTCGTCGAGCGGCAGTCCACTGTCGCGGCTCCCGGCGAGTCTCCTCAACTCGTCTAGGCAACCCATCAGAGTAAGGTCTCTTGGTGCTGGTTCTGAGACAGTGTCAGGATCCATACTGGTTTTCATGGCTGCACAAAATTACAGGAAAATTGTCAATAAATTCTAGCATCACTTTGTTTGCGTCCTCATCAGATAATCTACAGTAATGGTTCACACGGAGGTGAACGTGCGATTGCCGACCGCTCTGCACTGGTAGTGCCATGGGGTGCTGGCCATGAAAGCTATGCAGGCTATGTCTTGTGAGCGTAGGAAGGCACACGATAGGGCTTACAAGTCGGCACAGCCATTGCTTCAGGGCACCGCCTGTACGAAGTGGTAGACAGTAGCATGTGCGTATTGATATGGACCATGGCTGTGCAACCTACAAAACATAAGAGGCAAACTGCACCCCTTATTCCATTCGCGACGCAGCTGGTCAGATTAAACTGACAGTGCGAGGTCACAAACACTAGGGAGTTTTAGAATAGCGCACGCTAAAGCTTTGCATACGCAACGAATAGCGACGTCGCCACTGCGCATGCGACAAACGCTATCCACGTTTTGCTTGCGCTATTTCTCGGAAAATGTGTGAGTACGCAAAGGGCCTTTACGCTTCTCCAAGGGTGATTCGTGATGTGAAGTTGGCTAAAGCCAAGACGAGTACAGTTAAATAAATGGCGCCCCCCCCCCCCCCCCCCAGGACGATGGCTGCGGCAGCTTTGGCGGCGTTGTGAGCGCGACGTCGGCAACATCCTCGCGACTGTGATTTTCAATACAGGACGACATGGCAGTCGGTTAGGAAAACCCGGTAGGTGGGCAACGATCACCGGCAACTTGGTGCTTGCGACGAGCGAACGTTTATCGGCAAAGGTCGGTGCACTTTCGCCGAGGCGACGCGTGCGGACACGGCCGGTCGACGGCTCGCATTGTAGTCTCACGTTTAAACAAATGTAAAATGTTACTCTGAACCAAACATTTTGTTTTTTATCCAGTTAAAGCATTTCGTCAGTGAAATAAAACTTCTGACTGTATCTTGGTGGCGTTGCAAGCGCGAGATGCTTGGGCTTTTGCGTCGCAGTGCAGAAACGCTATAATAAAACTCCATTGTGTCGCGTGCGCTTACGTAAGCGCAAACTTTAGTGTCAGCGTGAGCTAAAATTGCGTATATTATTCTAAAACTCTCTACTTACTGAGTTCAGTGGAGCCTGTTTGAAAACATCTTGGCTAGGAAGCAGCTATACTATTCACAATGAAGATTGAGCAAGATTACCGAAGCACCCAGGAGCGTACGGAATGGTTTTGCTTTCCAACTCCTATTTCTAATGAGAAATTCTACTGGCCGTTTTGGCGCGCGCTGGGCTCGCCTTTCTTTGGAACGCATGTCTTCCACTGGACGATCGGGATTAATTCGCATGTCTTCCGCTGGACGTTTCGAAGCAGGGCCAACTCCATACTTGGAGCAAGCAAAACTCACTTTGACGACATCGGGGGGATTCAAACTGGTCGAGGGGTGGCCTGGAGGAATCGCGCTGGTTGTTTTGAGGCAACTTCTAATCTCGCGTGGCATGCCAGTGGCCATGTGTGTGCTCAAGTTCAAGCTGAGACTGGTATGTACTGTTTTAGTGTGTACAGAGAATACAAAAGTTTGAACATTTTCTTTGCAAGAGTGAGCCGAGTATGTTAGGGCAAGTAATCTCGAACACTGATTTCATTATGTGGGCTGGGAATCATATCTCCTGTTGATTTATTGCGGTGAAAATGGCATTTGCTTCTACATCACTGTGGAAAAATGCACGTGGTGAGATTCATGCTTTCAGCAAACTTCTGAAGTGTTATTCGTCTTTAAACGGCGTATCGCTTTCCTCACATTTAGCCATGCGAGCCTCACCTTTTCAAGAATAAAAGTAAATAAAGCTTGGGTCCATATTAAAAAAAAAACGCCTGCCTCCCTATTGAAAATCGCTCTGATGGGACTTCAGGATTTTCTTAAAGGGTGTGAAAGGGACTTCAGGAATTCTTGTGATGTTTGAAAGGTGCACCGATATTTCCTGGTGGGTTCGTTGGCCCCGTCAGAGGCTCTCCTGAAATGTCTGAAGTCCCCTTTACAATGCCTTGAAATGTCTGGAAGCCTGTCAAGAACTTTTCTAATGGGGTCGGGAAAACCTTCAGGCTTCTTGAGATGTCGGCGGGCCACGGCTTAGGTCGAGAAAACACATTTCGCAGAATTAGAATGTAGCCTTATTGTACGCTACGGGGAAAAAAAAGTATTTGTAGAATGATGATCGTATGTATGTACGGTCAGATTTGTAGTACTGCTCTTCTATCAAATACGAGTGGGCCGTCTGTCACTGCCCGGGGGTTCGGTCGCCAAGGAGGCCACTGAGGGCGACCGCCCCACGTAGAGAATCAACGAGCCGCTGGCCGAGTGGTGTTGACCGAGCGGCGTTTTGAGGCGAACGCATTCCTGTCCGCTGGAGGCGAAATCCGTGGAACCATAAATAAAAATAAAAAAAATAAACAAGCTGCGCGCTTTCCAGAAAGAGGGACCCACGCGGGAGCGACTCGTTCCGGGAACCGGTTCTTCCACGGGAGACGGTCCCCAAAAGCAAGTCACACTGCCCCTCTCTCCGCCCGGCGATGGGGAGAGGGTGCAGGGCTGCCAGCCCAGCGGCCGGCGGGAGAGGGTGGTGTGTGCAAGCGGGGGAGGCCAGCCGCCAGTATAGCCATTTTCTCTCTGCTCGTGGACAGTTCCGGTTAGCCCACACAGCGGATTTTTGGAGCGGACCAATTTCCTCCAGCAAGGTGAGCATGCATGCCTTTCAGGGCTCGCCCCTTGGTCTCTTTTGATTCTTCCTTGGTTCCGCAGGTGCACCCTAGTTCGGCGCTGGCCGCCTTCAGCACCGTTCGAGCGCCGTCGTGTTCAGCGCATTCAAGGAGATGGTGGCCGGTGTCGGCTTACTCGCTGCAAAGCCTGGCAGTCGGGGTCAGCGTCCCACCGCATGTTGTGCCTGCGCACCGGGATTATGGCGCTGTGGGCCCTGAGACGGTGGATGACGGTCGCTGTCCGGACTTGGTTTTTGCGCCTCTTCGTCCGTCCGACTTCAGAAGCATCCAGCGAGCGAAAAATACGCCGAAGACGCCGGCGTATTGTCATCATGGACGAAACCGTGACTGTGCTCGGGATTTCTCAACGGCGGCGGGTACTAGCGCTTGCGACTTCGTGGTTTTCGCTAAACGCGCTTACTAAGACTGTGTATGTGTACGTGAGGTGCACCTGCTCGGTTTTATTAGCTGAACTACCGCGCATCAGGATTATACCCAGCGGCATTGTGAGTACTTCGAAATATATTTTTCTTTGTGATAAAGAAGTCAGTTGTCCCTGTTTGATGTGATCTCTTTCGTCTACCGCTCCTTGCGCCGGGTTTCAACAAACGTTGCTTTTTATCTCCTTTTTGAGTTATAATATGCATGTAAAACTAAATGTCTGCAATAAATTTTGAATAATGTTTTGAACTGCATTTTGTCTATGGTTCACAGTCATTTGCGCGTCTAAAGGGGTGATGGGCTAAAGGGTCTGACGGGTTGAAGGGCTGTGGGGCTAAAGGGTTTTTCTATGGGGCATCCCTGAAGGGTTTTTCTGTAGGGTATTTTTGAAGGGTTTTGAAGGCCTGTGAGGTCCCATAATCCTTCAAGGCTGACGGGCCCTTTAGAAATATTTTCAATAGGGCTGTTCATTTGCGGTGCCACAAAAGGACAACGTACCCCTGGAAGGCACGGTAACAGAAATGTGAAGGCCGCCGAGATCGGCCATCTGCTATTGCCGTGCATGTCGCTCTCTCGTTCGGTAATCTAAAGCTAGGCCGCTCTAGGAGGAGAGGTCGTCTTCCGCGGGTGGTTTCAGGGGTGGGGCGCCTCGCGAGATTCGCGTGCCCCATCGCGGAATTTGGTTGTCGCCCCAAAATGACCAGTGGAATGCTCCATAAGGTACACAAAAACAGACCCACTCATATGCCCTTAAGGTTTTTCAATGTCTCCGAACAGCCAACAATGTTTGTTGCTGCTCTGACCTACATAAATAATGACTGAGTCCGTTCTTGATCCTGTATATTACTATCTTGAATCGCACATTTACTTGCATAAAGTTTACAAAACTTAAGCCAGTAAGCATGGCATTTAATTTCTGCCGTGAAAGTATGAGTCAGAAATAGCAGAAAAGGCAAGAATGGGACTTCTGGCTCTTCTATTTCACGACAGTCCAGCTATTCTAGTCTACAGCTTCGACACTCGCTTTTCATGAGTCTGCTATGAACACATTGATAAAACCGACTAAGCTCCACATCCGATTTACCACAAAATAGTGACAGCAAGATATTGAACACAAATGTTTTTAAGCAAGCTCGTAGTTGGTCTTACCTCTTCGTTGTAAGCTCACTTGTATGAGCAAAATGTGCATGAGCATAAAGGCTCCTTCACGCACTTGTAACCGAGTACGACCGAGGGAGATAAGACCAGTTTCTAAGCCTCTTGCGGCGTCTTTGGACCAGCTCCGCACCATCGCAGCCGGTCCTAAGACGTCGCAAGAGGCTTAGAAACCGGTCTTGTCTTCCTCGGTCGTACTCGGTTACAAGTGGGCGAACGAGCCTTATGAACCCCAATATAACTAACTCCCTCGAAATTGGTTCTGTATTAATACAATCCGAAAGTAGTCAGCCATGACATGTGGCATCTCATGGCTTCACTGTCGAACAACCCTTTGGCCAGTGCAGCAAGACTCACAACATTTGTGAGTTAGATGGGTAAACGATACTCTCCCGGCCAGTATCAGATACAACACTGCATCGCCTGGCTTGCCGTACTACCTGAGCCGCCTGCTGGGTGCTTCTTGAAACTGAATGAACGCCGAGGACGAGATTTGTGTTCATAACACTAATGCCAAATTTCACTTCGTCTGCTATGCAACCAAGCGTACGAAGGACAGTAATTGATATGCCGTGTGCTCTTGCACAGTCTGATTTATACCTTTTTGTTATAACAAGCCACGTCGGCATGGAGCTTCATTCATGCAGCATAAGGAAAACGGCTTTCAAATTTCACGCACTTGTAGTGGGGCTGCTTGTGTGAAGTGTTAGTAAAGAAACTAAAATGGTTACATTAACACCGGCTTCCAACGTTTTGAATGATTCGCATGCTGCATGACACAGCGTGCTGAAGTCTAACCGGGTTGACAATACAAATATTAATCAAACTATGCAACAAAAAAAAACGACGCCTTCAAACATCAAGCAACGCACTCACCATGACAATGGTTGTGCCAGACGAGAGCACATCTAGTGTTTCGAAACATTAGCAGGCGGCACTGGTAGCACCGCAAGCCATGCAGCACCGTGTTGTATCTGATAGTGGCAAACATAGCACATGCGTGTACAATGGTACAATGTACATGCATTCAACTGCCAGGAATAGGAATCAAACTGATGACGTCTGGCTCTGCAGGACAGGCTTCACTCTACATATCGGCAATTTGCGGTGCATTAACATACCTGGTCACAAGACCTAAAGCTGATGACTTGTGCATACCTGTTTCAACTGCTGGTTCTAAATGCATCTTCGCTGCGGAACGATGGCCTACATTCTTGAGGAGCCTCTGGAGGATGTTTCCCTGAAGTTGAGGAACCTCTTTGATCTTTACCTGTAAGAAGTCAAATAACGAGATGTCAAGAAACAAGCTGCAGATCGATGATCGGCGTGGCAATCAGATTATTCACTGCTTTCAAATAGTCAATTTTTAAAAGGGTTAATTTCCAGTTCATATATAGCTGCTAGTTTATTGCTTAGCAAAGCAAGGTTTCGTTTGCACTACCGTAAAATACCGAGTAAGCGCCCACTCAAAATATGAAGATAATCGCAGAAATTAGTGAATGTGAGCTTTTTAGGTCATTAATTTTACCTATATATCTAGTGTGCATAGTTTTTCAGATGTTGCAAAATTTTAGGGTGGGCACTTCACTTAGTAGGGAATGTGTGCATGCTCGGTATTTTACGGTAAGCACTAGCTATTCGAAGTATAACCCCCAGGCTGGTAACATTACAGGTGTGACAGCTAATATACACGACTTTTGAGAAATCAAGACTGATCTTGTTTTGTTTTTTTCTAAAATAAAATCTGTACCTGATTTGCTTGTAGACACCTGCAGGAGTGAAGCTTGTGCATAGAGATGAAATTAACTACCAACATAAATACCGTTAACCGAAGCTTAAAAAAGGAGGATTTCGCCAGCTAAATAGTTTGAACAGCCTGCGTAGCTACTGGATGTAAATGATTAGGGGAGATCACCAAGACTGTCTAGAGTCATGCCATGATTACTTCAATCTTCCACATTACAAGTCCGCAGCTTCCACTGCTGAATTTTAAGTGTGGTGCGGCCTGTCGAGCATTGGGCCAGTGGCACCCAGGGCGCTAGCCCTCCGCTACCCCCCCCCCCCTTCCCCCGCCACTGTGGCCCGCCGCGACACCCCCCCCCCCCTCCCTTGTGACGCCACTGCATTGGGCAACACTGTCTGTTTTTCTTATTGCCTGCGCAGTGTTCATTCCGAGAAGAAAAAAAAACTACTTGAATTGCGTTCATATGGTCTTTAGAGTAACCAATGTATATTCAATTCTACGCACAGGAGAGCCATAAAAGCAATTTCAAAATAGGGCTGAAGCCCCACCGCTCTGGGAAGTTGAAGGCTCCGTCGAGGACATCACGAACAGTGCCAGGTTTTTCGTGGTTTCTCGCGTTTAACAGTACTTGTGCAGCGAATGTTTCAGATATTCGGGTTCACGGGCATCAAACCGCTATAATTCACATCTGACTCATTATTTTTCAAGACCCTATTAACTCAGTAGCCACCAGCAGTTAACTGTGCTCACCACAAGTGTGCGCATCCGAATTAAATTGTTAGATGAAAGTTCAGGAAAATCATCAAGCTGGAGTGGAGGTATGACACAATAACTTAAATCTTCCAACTAAATGTAGTGCAACAAATTCAACCTTGGGAACTTCCCCTAAACTGAATGCAACAAATCCAGCCTTGGGGATTTCCCCCAAAACCTTTACATGTAACAATTTAAAAGTTCGGTATGCACCCTTGTGGTGCATGAGTGGACCAGGCTAGCTCTTGTTTGGCTCATGTGATCGCATGCTCTACAAATAATTAAGAGGTCTTGGGACAGATGCCTAGGTTAGGCGGTTTTGTTCAGTCCTACACTAGTCGCCTCAGGGGCATGAGTTGCGCTCCATTTAAGGGGAAGATTAGAGGTAGCTTGTCATGCGTCAATGTCCGAGATCCTTGTCCCCGTTGCCCTTCAAGTCGCCTGCTTTTTCATTCCTCATAATATTATGGTGAATTCCACTTGCAGATCTCGAGCGCTCCAAAAGGGCTCCATTTGGAGCGTGCATATTCCGTTTGCAGATCTAGCTCGAGCTGGTCATCTTCCGCTAGTAGATCTCTGGCAGTGCCCGCTCCACGGAGCGCCTCAAACCCTGCCGAGCTTGCTCTGCAGGATTTCACAGACCTATACGGAAGTTAACAGAGCGCCCTACGTCATCTCCTTTTAAATCTTTTAAATCGGCAGTGCGCAAGCACGGCGAGGTTGGCGAGGTCGGGTCGTCGAGTTGGACCTGGTGCTTCGGTTGTTTATGTGGAATTATGACGGCTCGAACGCTTCTACCTCGCGTAGATCAGGGATATAAAGCCGGGACTTTGGAGCGTGGTAAATCGCAAGCGCTGACATCTGTGATTGTTAGAGGGAACACGACAGAAAAGCTGGAGGCAGACTCGAGGTTAGGCCTGTTCATTCTGCAGCCAAGGATTGTTTACCTTTTTACATTGCATTCCGCCGGCGTTTTCTCATGCAGTAAAGCAAGAAGAGATTAGGCAACGACCGTGCAAGTGATGGTTTGTTACCCCTGTGTTTATAAAAGTCGTACCAGAAACCTGAACTCCACCGCTGGTAATCGCTGTCCGTGTTTGCCGCTTCGTGGCGGCCGAAAGGTATGTGACGGTGCCGAACGCGGACGTCATCGTTATTTGTGACATGGGCGCCGTGGTACGTATAATTTCACCCCGCCTGTGTCGCGTGTTATTTCTGCAGCTCAGCGTGACAGCTGTCACTGGTCGTCGGAAAGATCAGTTTGCTAAGGCGTTGGTGGGCTTGTCAAATTCGAGCAGCGGCCATTTCGAACGGCGGAGGGGGAAGCGGTGGGGAGGGGTGCGGGGGAGGTCGCCCCAAAAATGCGAGTTTATCTTCCCCTCGTCGATTCAAAGCGTGTGTTAGCGCCCTCGCAAAAGAAGAGGACTGACCCAAGCTCGCGCCACCACCCGCGTGGCGCACCGTTCTTTTTGCTGGACAGGCGTACCCGCCAGACGTGTTAAACGCTCCCTTTTAAACCTTCACTGGTCCCCGTTTCCCATGTCGAGACCGTAACATATCAGAAGTGGGATGGACCAAGCCTGATTCAGTGGCCACGACCGAGCGCAAGTCGACTTCTGCTGCCACGAATTGTCACAGCAGCGGCACCGAGCAGCACCTCGACATGGACGAGGAAGGGCGGCGGCGGAGCGAGCGGAACCGAATACGGCAGACTGCAGCGGCGCCCCCCCCCCCCCCCCCCCACTTCCAGCAACCGTTGCGATTGGAACAGAGAGCACGAGCCTTGGCGGTAGCGACGACGCAACCACGAGCCAAGATGGCGTGGCAGGTCAAGATTCGGAACGCTCCGACACCGACACCGTGGGGCAACGAATACCACTGGCAGGCCCAGCAAACGTTCCACCAACAATCCAGACTGGGTTGTATGGACCGACAGGTGACCTGTCTGGGCTTCAGACTATTGTACAAGAGGTTGTACAAGCTGCCGTGCGAGGAGCGGTCGCAGGCATGGCTGACCTGCTTCGTCCCGCAACCCAGCACACGCAAGACCCAAGACCACCTGCAGAGTCCAGCATCAGCGACGAAGCGCTCGTTCGGAGCCTGAGCGTTGTCAAGTTTTCTACTCCAGAGGATCTGCTGGAGTGCCTCAAACGCTTGGACGACCGACTCACCGCCGTCGGGGAAGCGTCCCACCGATCCGATGCGGCAACCGGTTCAAGGGCAGGAAAGAATGCAAAGGCGATCGTTGTTGACGCACAGTTGCGGATGCAAGAAGGCAAGGAACACTGTTTACCTGCTTGTGTAATCAACGTCACAGAAGATTGCGATACGGTTTTGCCTATTTTGAACATATCCAATTCCGACCTTAATATTTCAAAAGATGTAGCAGCCAGAGGCCCCTGGTGTTCAGAAGTATCTGAAACCGCCATCAACCGAAGCACGATGAATCTCCTGAAACCGACGAAAGCGGAAGATGTACGAACAGGACCTCAGCTTTGCCCTGATCTGTGGAGGAAATACCATCTCACAACAGAAGAGGGTCCTATCGTGCGAGCGCCTTTCAAGAAGCGGCCAGTGAAGGAATGCTACTGCTACAACTGCGCAGGCCAAGGCCAATTTGATCACCAATGCCACGTGAAGAAGAGGGGCAATCGGGTTATGCCCTACATCATTTCCTACGACGACCCTCACGAGTCTCAACATCAGAGTAGACAGTCAGAAGGAAATTGGCGAGCACCACCGAACAAGCAGAAAGGAGGCAAGGGCAGCCGCAAGCAGGTGCACAGCAAAAACGCGTCGGCAAGAAGACAACCAAGGAATCTACCTCACCGCAATACGAATCACCAGCACCGAAACAACGACGGCGGCTACGACAACAAACCTTCCGTGAGCAACAGCAGAGGCTAGAGAAAGAAGAAAAATAAGTCGCACTTGCAGCCGAAAGTCAATGCGACTTTCTAATGCCACCTACCGCATTGAAGATATACCTGGCCACAAGCGAACTCGACGTTTCTACGCGTCAACAGCTCCCGTCGACAAGGTGAAACGAGTCAACACCTTTGATGTTGACATTGAAGAAACATAAAGTGAGGACACTTGAATTCAGGATGGCCGAGTGTTAGCGCCCTCGCAAAAGAAGAGGACTGACCCAAGCTCGCGCCACCACCCGCGTGGCGCACCGTTCTTTTTGCTGGGCAGGCGTACCCGCCGGACGTGTATTAAACGCTCCTTTTAAACCTTCACTGGTCCCCCGTTTCCCATGTCGAGGCTCTAACACGTGTCCCACGGAGCGAGATTTTGCCTCCCTTCCGGATTTTGGAAAGCACTCCGGATCAACGGGTGGAATTCACCATTAGAAAAGGTTGTGGCCAGGCACATAGCCAGGATTTTGTTTTAGAGGGAGGGAGGGGGGGGGGGGGGGGCTCATGGCAAAATGCTGTATGTGGGGGAGAGGAGGTACCAGCAAAATGGAAGATTTCGAAGGGGGGGGCCACCCCCCCCCCTGGCTACGTGCATGGTTGTGACTCTAACACATACCTTCTTTGCACAGAAAAGGTCGATCATTATCCTCGGCTCGTCCTGGTCAGTTGATGACAGCTGCTCAAACGTTCTTTCTGGATTAATGTGCAGAAGGACAGCTACAATATGCTTGCATTTGTAATTCCTGTAAAGAATAAACCAGCTTTTGTTATCCCATACAGCAAGAAGGCTGATAGATTATGTGCAACAAATTATTGGCCCAATTGCTCACATCCATCGTAAGCTAATGGAGCATATCGCAGCAATTTATATTAATAAATTTCTGGAAGACCTTAGCATTTTCACAGTTTCAGCGTGGCCAGCTTTAGTTCACTTCAATTCTTCACAAGGCAGGACAAGTTGACATTGTATTTTTAGATTGGCTCGCCCTCAAATCTGGTTCAGTGTATTACCGCTGAACACAGAATTAATTAACCTCAATCCGACAAGAAGGTTCATTACACATATTGTCACGGGTAGTGACCAATAAACAAGAAATAAACACGAAGGAATAAACGTGTAATGTGGCGAACTTGTGCCAAAAATAAAAAGGTACAAAAGATAATAAAAGAGCGTCGCGGGCGTCGAAGTCGGCGTAGCGGCGGAGACGAACGCTGGGGTGAAACTGACTGCGGCTCGCCACGCGGAGCCCCTTATGTACATGCGTGGTCTTCTGGAATAATCGGCGTAGAAACTTCGACGCGTAGAACATTCGGGCCTGGAACAAGCAACATGATTCTCGAATTCTCCAGAACACTAAGTTACAGGAATAAACAAAAGACACGTCGCTCCCAGGATTCGAAACCTAGCTTTTCGCGTGGGAAGCAGGCGCGATAACCATTAGGCCACGCGCGCGCTGCCTACTTGGCCAGCGCGCGCGGCATTACTCCCCCCTTTAAAAAGTGCATCGCCCCGATGCAGCACAAAACAAAACAAAGCAAACAAAAAGTGAAAGCCGTTTACAACTTCCTGTAACGCCGAATTGGAGCGCAGCTCTTGAGGAGGAGGAGTGAAGGGTACTGAGGGGAGGGTAGACCCCTCCTCCGTCTCCTCCTCCTCCCCTCATTCTTTTATATGCTCCGGGGGAGGGGGGGTCACGTGACCTCGGAGGGGGGGGGGGTGTCACGTGACTTCGGGGAGGGGTGTCACGTGACCTCGGGGAGGCGTGACCTGGGGGTCACGTGACCTTGGGTGTCACATGGGGGTCACCTCAAGGTCACGTGACCCCCAAGGTGACCCCCACGTGACCACAGGGGGTCACGTGACCTTAGGGGTCACGTGACCTTAGGGGTCACGTGACCTGGAGGGGTCACGTGACCTCAGAGGGGTTACGTGGGGGTCACCTTGGGGTCACGTGACCTTGAGATGACCTTGGGAGGGGTCACGTGTCCTTGGGGGTCACGTGACCTCGGGGGTCACGTGACCTTGGGGAGGAGACCACGTGACCTCACAGGGGTCACGTGACCTTGGGGTTCACGTGACCTTCAGGGTCACGTGGGGTCATCTTGGGGTCACGTGACCTTGAGATGACCTTGGGAGGGGTCACGTGACCTCGAGTGGTCACGTGACCTTGGGGGTCACGTGATCCCAAGATGACCCCATGTGACCCCGAAGGTCACGTGACCTTGGAGGTCACGTGACCTTCAGGGGGTCACGTGACCTTGAGATGACCTTGGGAGGGGTCACGTGACCTGGTGGGGTCACGTGACCTTGGGGGTCACGTGACCATGGTTACCCGACGCCGACGCCGACGCCGCTCAAGCCGGGAACTGGCCCCTAAGAGCTGCGCTCTAAAAAGAGCGGTAAACTAAAGAGTCATTTGGAATACGTAAGGTCCACTGTCCTATCGAGCGTAGTGCGGCTTCATGCGCACGACGTGGACGACTTCTGGTCGTGGAGGGCGGCGTGATGAAGTCCGTGTTCCATCGGGCATCACCTCGTAGTTCAGATCACCGAGTCGACGAAGCACTATGTAGGGTCCAAAGTAGCGCTTCAGGAGTTTCTCGCTGAGACCACGGCGGCGGATCGGTGTCCACACCCACACCCTGTTTCCGGGCTGGAAGTGGACGTCCCGGCGACGAAGGTTGTAGCGGTCAGTGTGGATACGTTGTTGGGCTTAAATCCGGAGTCTGGCGAGCTGACGGACTTCTTCTGCCCGTTGGGCAACCACCTGGGTGTCGTCGCTTCCGCCGACAGCCGTTTCGTGAGGTAACATTCCCAAGCAGCACCAGAAAGTGAATTTCGATCGGCCGACGGTTGGCCAGTGTCTGGACAGCTTGGCCACTTTAAATGCTTGGCCACCGGAGACATAAACAAGGCCGGCAAGAGTCCGGCAACAAACTAGTTGTTTTTACCTTTTCCGCCGGAGACATAAACACTGCTGGCAAGCGCCTGGCCAAAAGTGCTTATTTTCAGCTTGGCCGCCGGAGACATAAACACGGCCGGCAAGTGTTTGGCCAGCAGTGCTGATTTTCAGCGCGGCCGTCGGGGACATAAACACGGCCGGCAAGTCTTTGGCCAGAAGTGCTGATTTTCAGTTTGGCCGCCGGAGACATAAACACGGCCGGCAAGTGTTTGGCCAGTAGTGCTGATTTTCAGCTTGGCCGCCGGAAACATAAACATGGCCGGCGAGTGTTTGGCCAGCAGTGCTGACTTTTAGCTTGGCCGCCGGAGACATGAACACGGCCAGCAAGTGTTTGGCCAGCAGTGCTGATTTTCAGCTTGGCCGCCGGAAACATAAACACGGCCGGCGAGTGTTTGGCCAGAAGTGCTGATTTTCAGCTTGGCCGCCGTGGACATAAACATGGCCGGCAAGTGTGCGGCCAAAAGTGCTGATTTTCAGTTTCGCCGCAGGGACACCCATAATCTAAACTTTCATCGGGTTGACGAAACTTTGGCATAACGACGGGCAGCGAGAGAAGCATTATGAGCGAGTGGTTGGCAGGATATTAGTGCGTGCATCGCGCGAACACTGTTAACGCAAGCAAACGATTACCGTTTTATTCTGTTTTTTTCGTTAGACTTGGAAGGTACTGTCTTAACTAGCACTTTCGTGTGATATGCTTATTTGGAACATTACGAGAAGTGGGAAAATATTGTGCCCGTCGTTGTTCAATGAACATAAAATACGAAAACAGCGCCCACGTCATTTTCGCGCTAACAATACCGCTCTGTCGCTACGCGGCACTCTTAGCGCGAATACCACATGCGCGATTTTTCAGTTAGTGCTCCACATATTTACTTTCCAACTGCACTCGAAGAAATAAAAAGTTGTAGTCGGGTGCATCGGGCGCACATGCTCCCCTTTCCTGGAAGACGCGCCCTCCGTTACCCAGCCAGTGTACTTGTACACCGACCATAAGCCCCCTTCTACCTTAAAAACCTATAGGTGTATCAATGCACTCAGCTTAGTAAACCGCCACGCTAGCCGCGCTTCCCGATAACCTTGTGCTTGAATCGGATAAGATTGGATATTTCAGGCTTTGTGTTTTGGAAGAGCCTAAACAAGACGTCTCTCATATATTGATTAAACTTAAGCTATAGTCTCAGTAATGTTTTATATAGGTGGAAGGCTACTGATTTCCTGAGTCAACGAAAGCTAACCGCTTCGGTTAAAACCGCAACGGAAACGTTCAAAATCGAACCACACGTAAAAGAAAAAGAAAATGAACATCTCGACCTAGATGTGCAGAACGCTGGTTTTGTTGTTAACAACGTGGTTGTTGGCGGGTGGTGGGCAACGCCGTGACGCTATTGACGCTATCGTGGTGATTGACGCCAATGATGCTCGGCCGTACTACACAGTAAAAGTTTTTACACCTTTAAGGATGTAAAAGGGGTGTTATATCACCTTACACCCTCGGCTACAGCCTTTTTAACACCCTAAAAACTAGGAATACAACCTCATAATTTTAATGAAAAGTGTGCTGTTTCGTGTTACACCCTACATTTAGTGAAGAATGTGAGAAGGGTGTAGAAGAGGGTGCTAAATAAATAAGGTGAAATGGTTTTGGAAAGCTTATATATGGCTTTGTTCATAATGTCCAGGTAGGATTTCTGCTTGAAAAGCAACAGTTGTTAGCAGTCTAGTTTTTTATAATGTCAGTTGTAATTTATGCAAATAGCTCGTAATAAAGTGCCGCTTTGCAATCAAAATTTTTTATATGAGTTCATATTTCATTTTCTTACAAATCACCCCATGCTCAGAAATTGCAAAGTAGGGTGAAATGCTCTATACTAGCATTTTTTATAAATATTTATTGATGGAAGTGTACAGTAAAAAAATCAGTTAGTCTCGAGTTTATATCTGGCAACATGAAATCAAAATATAGTGAAAATGTTTGACAAATATTCATGACATGCTGCTAGAACCTGTCACATGACCATGTCAACCTGAGTAAAATATTCATTTGAGAATAAGGGGACATGCACAAAAACTCACACACATAAAGAGGCAAATCCCATGATAAGCCAGTCCGAGACATCCCATACAAAAATGGCCTATGGTCGTTTATGGAAAATTCAATGGCAGGCTATCACCCCATGTAGCTTTGCATGGTCGACCTTAGAAATTTATAGATGCAGCTACAGACAGCTATAGAAAAGTTTAGGGCCCTGTGTCTAAAGACTCAGGGCTATGTTTCAACAACAACAACAACAATAATAATAATAATAATAATAATAATAATAATAATAATAATAATAATAATAATAATCAATAAGTTAGTGTTTTAACAGTGTCCAGGGACATCCAATTGTTCTTCTTGCGGGCGCAGTGCAATAGAACGCACAAACAGACGCTTGCGCGCTCGCAGTCGCACCCATACACGCGCGCACGCACGTACACACGCATGCACACGCGCAAACCCACGCCCGCGCGAAGACGCACACGCACGTACAACCAGAGACGCACACACGCGAACGCATCCACACGCGCGCGCACAAACACGCACGCGCATACACGCACACGCAGGCAAACAATTACGACGAAGGAAACGTTGCTTAAGTTAGTTTCGGTTTCGGTTTACAGAAAAAAGAAACAACCTTAAATTTAAATAAAACCTACGATTTACTCACTTTTTGTAATGTTTTACATTATTATTCTAAGGACATTCTTATTGTTACCAATATAATAATAATTTGCTT